CCTTTTCCGGGATTACTTCCCTTCTTCTTTTAATGCCACTAGGACCAGCTTGAGAGTCACCGGACCTCTGTCGCACAACATATCTGTCTATAGAGGCCTGTACCTCCCGTTCCTGTATGATTTGTCTAAATTGGCTCACAACACTGTCATTGTAATAGTCACCAGCACGGCTTGCAATAGCTGTGTGAGGGTGATTTTCATCCATAAAGGTTTGCACTTCAAGCCACTTTGCACACATTTCCTTAAACTTTGAAGTAGGCAACTTCTTCAATTTCTCTATCCCCTCCTCCGAAGCAGTTTCCTCAGGTCTGGCCTCTTGCTGTTGAAGATGATCTTGCAGCTCATCAGTGGTTAATTCTTCATTGTCCTCCTCCACCAACTCTTCCACATCCTCCACACTAACCTCCAACCCCAAGGACTTCCCCAATGCCACAATTGATTCCACAACTGGCATACGCTTCTCAGGGTTAGCCACAAATCCTTCAAAATCCCTTTTGTCTAAACATTCTGGCCACAGTTTCTTCCAAGTAGAGTTCAAGGTCCTCTAAGTCACTCCCTCCCAAGCCTTACCTATAAGGTTTACACAATTGAGGATGCTAAAGTGATCTCTCCAAAACTCTCTTAGAGTCAATAGAGTGTCTGTGGTCACTACAAAGCACTTTTGAAACATAGCTTTTGTGTAGTTTTTTGAAGTTTGAAATGACCTGCTGGTCCATGGGCTGCAGGAGAGGAGCGGTATTAGGAGGCAAAAACTTGACCTTAATGAAGCTCATGTCCCCAGAAAGTCTGAAGGATGACCAGGAGCATTGTCTAATACCAGGAGGCACTTAAGGTCCAATTTATTTTCCAGGAGGTAATTTTTCACAGTGAGGGCAAATGCATGGTGTAACCAGTCATAGAAAAGGTCTCTAGTGACCCATGCCTTACTGTTTGCCCTCCACGTCACACACAAATTAGCCTTGAAGACACTGTCTCTCCTGAACACTCTGGGAGTTTCAGAGTGATACACCAATAAAGGCTTCACTTTGCAATCACCACTAGCATTAGCACACATCAAGAACCCGTGGTCAGAGAGTGCCTTTTCCTCCTGAGTAATGTAGGTCCTGTTTGGCATTTTCTTCCAAAACAGGCCTGTTTCATCGCTATTAAACACTTGTTCAGGTTTTAATTCTTCACTGTCTATGTAATCCTTGAATTCCTTCACATATTTTTCAGCCGCTTTTTGGTCTGATCTGGCAGCCTCACCATGCCTTATCACACTATGTATGCCACTACGATTCTTAAATCTCTCAAACCAACCTATGCTGGCCTTAAATTCACTCATCACCACCACTAGTTGCAGGCATTTTTCTAATTAAATCCTCATGCAACTTCCTAGCCTTTTCACATATGATCGCTTGAGAGATGCTATCTCCTGCTATCTGTTTTTCATTTATCCACACCAATAACAGTCTCTCAACATCTTCTATCACTTGCAATCTCTTATTTGAAAACAAAGTTGCACCTTTTGCAAGAACAGCTTCCTTGATTGCTGTTTTCTTGGCTACAATAGTAGCAATGGTTGATTGGGGTTTGGTATACAACCTGGCCAGCTCCGAGACACACACTACACTTTTGTACTCAGCAATTATCTCTTTGTTCATATCCATAGTAATTTTCACCCTTTTTCCCGCAGGGTTGGCACTAGAAGCTTTCTTGGGGTCCATGGTGACTTATTTTGCAGGTACAATCACTAAAAATGCTGTGATAATATGAAATGTTCCGATTGTATGCATGGATGCAACCGCACTGGCTGGCTTGTAAACACTGGCACCCACAGGACAGCTGAGGCGCACTCAGGCTACACGGACGTGTCTCGAACAAATCATGTAAGCTGAGTTTTTTAACGTGAGGTGAGGCAAAATTTTTGCGTTAAAATGTATAGTATGGTGGATTTAACGTAAGGTGATGCCATCGTATGGTGAGGGTCCACTGTATTACAATTTAGTATTCAAAACAATAAAATTTGAACATCCTGTTTTTGAAGTAATGAGTACACGGTTGAGCAATCTTCAGCACAATATTCAGTATTGAAACTGAGACATCATTAGTACTTTTTGTGTTGCTTTTGAGTAAATGGTAGATATTAAGTACAGCTTTTCTGGTTAATTTTGGGTAATGAGGAGATTTCTAAGTAGGGCCGTAAATTGAAGTAGACTTTCCTGGCACTTAAACATTTCTTTTGCTCATTAATCATGTCCGCAGGCCTCTCTATATTACACTTGCCTTCCATTTTGAATTCATAACCACATAAAAATAGATTTACTCTATATATTGGATAATTAAACATAACCAGGAATGATTGGTCATAGTTTACAGCATCCCAATAATTGAATCAGACATATGAAAAACCCATAAAACAGACTGGGGGATTTTAAGGGCCTTTACCTGTCTTCAGGAAAATTGGCAAAAATCAAATATTTCCACTAAAACCCAGTTTTAAGCTACTTTTGAACCTGAAGCCAACCAAAATCATCTCTCTTTCATTAGCAAGTTTTCCATTCTTGGCATCACTATAATGTGATACCAAGAAACAGCCAATAAAACTATAAAAAGCATCCTAGAAAACACCTCAATGTTGCTATTTTAAACTAAACACAAGGTTAGAGTTTTACTTTTCCCCGTCATGCACCACATGAGGCAGGATTTTTTTATACAGTGCATACTCACCCCACAGACCCATTCTCTCATATCTATACTAAAATTCACCACTCACAGCTTATCTGAGTGAGCTGAGCTCATGACGTAGAACTACACAAGGGGACCCTGGCCTCAATGATATAGTTCTTCGTGACAGCCAATGAAAGGGTTGAAGCCAAAATTAATTTACCCACAATAATGGACAATTCTTCTCCGTGGGAAAGTGGAACAGAATTTGTCCTCCGTAAGCCATGCATGTCGTAAGAGGTGACTAAAATTCCAGGAGCAAGGGGCTAGTAACCCCGTCTCCTGTATATATTACTAAATGTAAAAGAAGAAACTTTTGTTTTTCTTTTTGTGCCATCCTGCCTCGGTGTTCTACATTGTAGAACATCAGGCTTGACATTCTACGATGTAAAGTCAATCAAGACCTTAACCTTCCTCTACCTCCCAGAGATTTTGTCGACTTGGCTGAGCTCTGCATTAATTTCAATTGCTTTTCTTTCAATAACAGGCTCTACAAACAAACCTATGGTATGGGAATGGGGTCCCCTACCAGCGCTGTCTTAGCCAACTTGTATACGAAGCACCTGGAAGCTGAACACTTCACCAACATCATCTCCACCATTGTCACTTGGTTACACTGTATGGACGATGTCCTCATAATAACTCCCAAAATTTTGATGTGCAGAATCTTCAGGCAAGGCTCAATGCAGTTGAACCGGCTATCCAGTTTACTGAAGTAGAGTTCATGACAAGCTACCTATTCTAGACGTCCTCATTCACAAAGCTGATAACAATCTAAGATTTCAAGTTTACCATAAACCTACCAACAAAAATGATCTCACCCACTTCTATTCCAATCAAGATACTAAGACCAAAAAAGGCATCATCATCAGATTTTTCCTAAGAGCATACCCAATTTGTTGTTCTGAGTTTCTTGATGAGGAATGTACTTATGAATGCCAAACCTTCAGTGATCTACAATTTCCTTCCTTTTTCATCAAAGACTGCAAGAAAAGAGCTCTGCAGATCATCAATTCTCCACACCAACACCCCTCCTGACAAGGTTATAATCCTTTCCAACAGCCAGGTTACATTGAACATTTCCAACGTACTGGCACAAACTAACACTAGTGTAGCCATCACATCCAGCACTTCCATAAGGGATCTAACCAGGACAAAATCGAACCACTATGAATCAGTCAATGCAGGAGTTCACACTATACCTTGTGGAGGCTGTGACAGGATATATGTAGGTGAAACAGCTAGAAACCTCGAGACACTTCTCAATAAACACATTAACACATGTAGGAATGATAACTTGAACAACGCCTGTGTACAACACCGGAATTCCACCAATCACCTCATGAAATTCAATGATGCCCGACTAGTGATCAGAGAGCCTAATTTCCACAGACGTAAGTGCCTTGAATCATCATTAATCACTGTTTCTAACACAATCAAGCAAAATAAAGGCAGCTTCATCATCTCTGAAGTAGTGTTAGCAAACATCCTCCTCAAAACAGCAAACCTTGCCATCACACAGTCTCTGCTACACAAGAACATAACAGAGGAGGAACACTGAAACAAACCTTCCCATATCCAACCACCAACAGAAACATTTGTCTAACCTATTTTTATGCTACCCAAATATGTAATAGCTTTTATAACCTTTTACTTAAGTGCAAGTTGAGTGTTCTACCATACTGTATTACTACTACCTCTACAACTTATATTACTACTACTACTACTATTACCACTAGTATTACACCTCACTCTAAGTCTATGTATACCCTCTGTGTCCATGAATTGTTTGTAACAGCTTGATACAGCTCGTGGAGAGCGAAACATTGCCACAATAAAATGTCACATTAGTTGCACTTGTGTCCTTTTACTTAACACCATGCAGATTATAAGTTCATTAACTAAATCCTCTTTAAAGTATTTCTGAAAGTTGTTGGACAGGCCTTACTTCTGGAAAGGTTTCTATTCTAGGACACCAAGTTTTATTAAGTTACTAATCTATTTTTGTTGAAAATTTCATAGCTTTATCAGTTCCATTTGGTTATTTTCAATATAAAATTTTAATCCACGTAAAAGTCTGAGCAACAGTTTTAAATTTTTGAAAAGAAATTTATCTTCTTATGAAGATATATTTCAGCATAAAATTTAAACATGGTTTGTTCAGTCCACTCCCAACAATATGCTATTATATATTCACCAAAGGAATAATAACATTCTAACCAATAAAGACAAAAGCATTACAATATTCTCCTCCATTTCATGCTTTACATATATTCAGCAAGATTACTACTTACCACAATGAAGAGGGGCTCTGTTGTAGGCCCTAGGGCTCGTAAAACCTCAGGAGCAAAGATTCCAACACCATCAGCTTTCCTTTCATAATGAAAGATGGTGCCAGCAAATTTCCTTGCTCTTGGGAAGTCAATTCTCCAATTTCCATTAAGGAAAAAGAATCCTGTCATGTTTCTGACAGCTATAAAGAAATACATAAACTTCATTAATAATTTACTAATTGTGATATAAAACGTAGGTACGGTATTTGGGAAAAAATTTCAGTTTAAAAAATAAATGAACCCCTTTTTTTAAATTTTAAAAAAAAATACACATTCGGGGTGTTTAATTTAAATTTTCTACTGATCACCAAAATAGTTATTTGAAGCCAAAACTTTTTTTTACATAAATATTAGGGCACCAGCAGGTATAAAAAATATCATTAAAACCCAAAAGTGAGGGTCTTCTGAAATAAAATCCCTGTGTAGTGTTACATTAAAAAACTGCCCACCATTACAACCTAAAATTGTTTTTCCTTAGCTGAGGGACCCCAGGATTAAACCCGCCCCAAACAGGCTGAAAAGCAAATTGTAAATTTAAACATATTTCATACGGTTAAAAGCTTTTTTTCATAAAAAAAAATCATTTTCCAGTTTGGGGGGGGAAAAAAAAATAAATTTTGGAAAAAAAAATGCATACAAAATTTCAACTTTAAAATGTTTAAGCAATTTTTTTTTTTTAATTTTAAAAAAAAAATTACTGACCAAAAATTTAATCATTTTTTACAAAAACCAAATAAAAATTGAAGAAAAGTTTGAATCTGTGTTTAAAAGTATTTTTAATTTTCATATATAAAAAGGCGAAGCCCAAGGGGACTATTACCCTTCTTTTGTAAAAAATTACAAAATTTTTAAAAAAGAAAAAATTTTGGGGTTTTTCTCTTTGGGCCCCCTTGCCTTGGTGGAAAAGGGGCTGGTTTGTTAAAAAAAAAAAAATACTAAAATGAGTAAAAATTTTTGTAGGGGGGAGTATGGGTTAAATTTGGGGGTGCCAGGGGTAAATGAAAATGGGGACCTTTAATTGAGCTATGTGTAAAGGGGTTTGCAAATTTAAGAAATACACATTTCTGAAAAAGGAAAAAATAAATATAAAAGGGTAGGGTATAGCCTTAATAAAGTAGTTTTTTAGATTA